TCTCTCTCTCTCTCTCTCTCTCGATCTCTTTCCTTTCCGCGCAACCGAAACGAAGCGCACCTGTGCCGACGATCGCCGGCTCGTTCAACTTTAATCTGATAATCTGATTGGCTGCCGTGTGTCAAATATTGCGGGCCTGAGTGTCAGGCTGCGTTCTTCTGCGCGAACTGGTTCTCGGCCGGACGCGTGGCCGATTGGAAGTCGAGTTCTGAAACCGACCGGCCGATTGCGCCGCTGTCGGAAGGACAACTTCGAATGCGCAGAGCGCGCGTGACATGCTCGCTGTCATGTTTCGTGTCATGTAAGGTGCCCCGTGTGTTTTTTGTAATTTTCTTTTCGCAAATTTATTTGATAGCGCAGTTTCTCTTTATCGCCCGACATAAAAATTGCGCAAAGCGATAGTTTAACAAACTCCCGATAAGAATCGTTGAGATTACGAGGGAAAAATCACTTCTGTGAGTTAAAAGATACGTAAAATATGTCGTCACAATTACGATTTATCCACGCCGCGTTATGTGCACTCGAGGAATCTGAGAAACACGCATTTCCTGACGCGATAGATCGCGGTTGGCCACGTTACCATCACCCCGAGAGAATAGACGTGAACGGGACGACGAAGACAACGACTGCGGTGGAATCCACCATTGCGAATCGAGACCGTGCGTCGCACGGGGTCAGAATACTTTTTAACCCCCGCAGATAGTGATGCGCGCAGTGATCCTCCTGCGCACGGATTCTCCTTTTACTTCGTTTCGACTCGTGGGTACCGCGGGAGGTAACGAGACGGAACGAGACCGAGGGGGAGAGAGAGAGAGAGAGGAAGCGCGAGAGAGGCACGAGGAGAGGAAGGGAATGAAAAATAAAAGAGAAAAGGAAAAAGAAAGGAAGAGAGAGGTAAGATCCACGTCGTCGCTCGGCGAAGAAGGGTACACACTTTCGTGAGACAGAGAAAGAAAGAGAGAGAGAGAGAGAGAGAGAGAGAAAGAGAGAGCCTTGCGCATTGATATGCAGCAGGCTGCATATGCGGGCCATGCCGGATGAACAATACGACCACCGGTAAGGCACCACCGTGTAAACTATCCGGCATCCACGGGTCTGCGCAACGTAGAGCGCGCCGTGCCGCTCGATACCGCGCGGGACAGTTTACACGGCGCATCGGGTATACGGCGCGGCGAGCGCGGGTCGTGACGCGCCGTATCTTGCATCGGATGTACCACCAGTGTGGAAACACGGATACGTACCTTCTTCTCTCCCTCTCGTCTTTCCTCCTCTTTCCTCTCGCCAACCCCCTCGCTCGCTCTCTCTCTCCCGTTTGCGATGTATCGGCACGGAGCAATCCACCCACCCACCC